TATCATCTGCCAATTGACTGATGACAATCTCTCTGTCTGCTATGTTTATACCCTTCACAGGGCTATTCGAAATATGAGAGGCAAGAATTTGGGTGCACAGTAAAAAAAGATAAGGGCTAATCGGGCAACCTTGGCGTACACCTCGATTAAGACTAAAACGAGAAGTGGTGCCATTTTTCATTCTAACAGAACTATTAGCATTGGAATACAGAGTTTTGATAGCTCAGCAGAAGATTTTATAGTCACTATCTAGACCTTTGTTTCTGTGGGCTGGACATCATCATCTAAAGGTCGAAGGTCACTCTTTCGAGGATGCCAATGTTCACATTTTGGACATTGAACACAGATGATTGGAAAGAGGAGTGAAAGAGGCATCTGTGTCCACTGTGAACGGCCATCTTTGAACAGAGGGCGGGGCTTATGACACCAACTGTCCGAAAACAAGCTTTTATTTTAATATGTTTAAATATTAACCCAATGCCACTTTCAATCTGAAAGAATGTTACGAAAGGCTCGACATGAATGCCGCCCTTTAGACTCAAACCCCCGTTTGCTGCAGGTATCGCTTCCGTCCGAGCTGTAACTGAAGTTAACATTTCATCTGCATAATTCAGAGCCATGCATTCAACGAAGCATTTGAGTCAATTTTATAATCAAATTATTCGCATTAATCGTTGCAGTCCTACTTTCAACCCTTTATTATTTAACTTAATTTCAAAATTAGAGTGCACTATTGTTTTTTATTATTGTAGCCACAGAAAATAGTACGACAGAAGCAATTCAACAGCAATTGGAGAACAATAGTCCAAGTCTCCCACAGAATGTGCTAGAAACGGTACATCACTGCCACACAACGAACCACACCTCCAAAGTAAAGCGCTGTTTAGAACAACGGCTTCATCTTCGGAACCTCGTCTCCATCTAAATCGACACCAAGTTTGAATCGTTTCGGGAATATTCAGCAAGTCGGAGAAGACATGCAGCACCACCTGGAAAACTGTAGAGTATTTAAGGTCACAGCAATCTCCACCTCCAAGTGAGTTCTCCTACCCGAGATCTTAAGAGGACCTCCACAGATGATGAGCGCTAACGTTCACCTTCTTCTAAACTGAAGCGTTGCAAACAATGACAGCGATAGCCGCTCCTAAACTAGGATATTTCTTTATCAGGGAAGTGGACACGACCCGCTTTCCCGGTCAGGAAGGAGGTCATGCCTAACTGCTTAAATCCCTCCACTCCTGAGAGTATAGGCACACATTTAACGGACAACATGAACAGTGAATACCCACGTTATCCGATTTCGTAACACGTCGTTTTACTAGCTTGCAGGAACTAACCTCACTCCGTGAAACAGAACAAAACGGATTTTGGCCAACTTGTTCCTGGTTAGACCCTAAATTAGCTTCCCGGATAACTCGATAGCTAATGCTAACTTGTGGTCAACATCTCTGCTGTAAATTCAATGCAGCGGTTTTACTAACTCTGCCCTTATTACATAACCTCCCCCGATTCTTACCCAGTGAAGATCTGATGTAGCTGAAAACACGCACGGCTGTGAAATACCTGCAACTTCGACTACTCCCTCTGTTTCTTAATCCAAAATGGCGTCAAACTAAAACTTTCCCAGCAAACCCCGCGCGTCAACAACACCTCCGTTTCCGTCCACCGGTATAGTACGGGAAGCCGAAAGAGCCAAATCCGCCCCCTTTTCCCCATGGACGACCTAGAGCTCCACAAACATGAAGCCAAAACGTCTCTTTCGCCCCCTGGTGTCTGATGCGGTATAGATCATAGATCAGCGGACGGGACAAGAGAGTTCTTCTCATTTTTCCCAAATATGCTTGTCTGCCATTATTAGTCATTCTCATCACGCTGATTTGTGTCCAGGGGTCTTCTTTCGCATTCGATTAGATTCTGATTGTTAACTTGTGTTAAGGTTCAAAATATTGTGGATGAAAAACCA